CTCGTGGTCGTCGACGGCGAGGGCCAAGCGGTCGGCACCCTCGGCGAGGTCTTGACGGCCACCTCGCTGCTCGCCGCCACGCCCGGCCACCGTCGTGACTGCCACCGCGCCCGACCGCCGCCTCGCCCCGGCGGCCGCCTCGTCCCGGTGGCCGCCTCGCCCGGCTCGCCCGGTCGCCGCCTCGCCCAGCCGCCGCCTCGTCCCGGCGGCCGCCTTGCCCAGGCCGCCGCCTCGCCCTTCCGCTGCCTCTACCGACCGCCGCCACCTCGCCCCAGCCGGTTGAGGGAGTTGTTGAGGGAGAAGAGATAAGGTAGAGAGAGGGTTGAGGGAGTGGTTGAGGGAGAAGAGATAAAAAAAGAGATAAGGTAGAGAGAGAGGGGGAGTGGTTGAGAGGGAATAAAGGGAAAAAGGAAGAGGGAGAGGAAAAATTTAAAGTGAGTAGAGGGAAAGGAGGGAGGAATATCCCGTGCGGTTGGATTAGGACGCCCGCACGGGGAAATCGATTTTTCCGTGCGGGCGACACCTAGCGCCGCTCCCTCAATTTTTCCGTGCGGTTCCACTTATGGACTGCATAGAAACAAAGAGGAGGGACGTCCAGAAAAATCAATCGTGTAGTAGTGTGTCATCTTAGCTATTAATAATAAAATATTTTTAAGTGGTAGTAGAACTCATAAATCAATGGCTTAAACTGCTTCTATGCATAGATATAGTAGAATGGTACTATAGTAGAGACCACCGTGAAAAAGTACTCACCAACAAACAGGCCAACAATTTGCTCCTTATCTCCGCATCCAAGCTTAGTTTGCAGGCCAAAATTAGCTATGATCCTCTCTTCTAAATGGGAACTACACGTGAAAATATAAGTTATCGTCACTTATACACAAATTATAAATCATAAGTTGGCCACTCTTGGTCAGGCTTTATAGTGCACTCTAATACATTTGCACCCTTTCAGTTTCCTCTTCCATGCTCCAACCCTCGCATACTAATCCTTGGTTCTTTAATTTCTTTCCAGCGACATTGATGTGAAATGTAGATCATTTACTAGAGAGTAAAGGTGCGCACGTATCATTAGAGCGTGCAAACTTCGAAACTGTCAGTATATTTGGGGCTTGCTCTTGCATACAATTCTCTTCGTCTTAAAATATAAGAGATCTTGGACGGATAGAACATTTTAAAGGACTGAATCTAGATAATCCTATCCATCCAAAATTCCTTATATTTTATATTTTAGAGTAGAGAGAGTACGAATATCGCTATGTAGGGCATCTAAAAAATAAGTGTTTTTGTAAATCTTCATACAAAGGGATCAAATTTGTGGTTTCATGTACAGAGAGGGTCATAGATGTACTGCACATTGGTCCGGATAAGAACATAAGCATGCCGGGCCCTCTCGTTGCTATTACTCGTTGCTATTACTCTAAGCCCTCCATAGCTGCCTATGGCCTGCAGTAATAATCAGTACTGTAAGCTGAAAGGATGATATTACCCCCATGTAGCGGTGAATTTTGTTTTAGCTATCATGCATGAACTTCAATTAGGTAATTTCTATGGTTGCGGACCTAATTTTTTTAGATAATAGAATATAATATCCATAATTAAGAAATGGTTGCGGACCTAATTGAGTGACATTTGCATCAACAAAATTAATATGCATAACAAGGGCATGAACTAGGAAAACCGCTAAAAAAATATAACCCAAGTGTTTTTAAAGAGTTGATCATACTGTTGAACGAAGATGTGATGAAGCTCAAGTAAAATATAAAAGGAAGTGCAGTGAACTCTACTGTTAGGGCACTGAGAAATCCACGGCACTCAAAAGGGAACTGACGAAGACCAATTTCTGTGCACAGTGCGATCAAGAGCTGAGCCTGGGGAGCAAAGGGGTATTCTCAACATCACCTTGAGTTATTTCTTCATTTAACTTTAGTTCCCAGTGCCCCCCAATCCTACTGTCCACGAGCATACTTCTCCGTTCTTGGACCTGCATCTCATGTTGTCTAATCAACCTTTGGCACATCTTGTGCAGCATTTAAATAGGCTTTTCGTTCCTCCTCTCTCCGTCCCATAGAACATCAACCTAGTACGAGATGTGACACATTCTACTACTACGGATCTAGACATACATCTGTCCAGATTCGTTATACTAGAATGTGTTACATCCAATCGTAGATTCATTTTTTGTGGGGACGAAGGGAGTACAAGGCTTCAATCATTAATGCGAGGATGCCTAGCATACTAAATGATTGACACAATTCATGCTATGTTACTCCTTTCGTCCCATTTTAAGTATAGTTGTGAGAGTTTCTGTGTTCAACGTTTAACCTTTCGTCTTATTTGGAAAACTTACGAAAAAATTAAAAAAATAAGTCACACAAACAATAAAAAATACTAATCATAAAAAATCAAATAAGACGGATGGTCAAACGTTAAAAAAAAAACTCATAATTATACTTAAAATGAGATAGATAGAGTAGTTGTCTTTGGCAGCCTGTAGCTCGGCAGCTTTGTTTTGCAACAGAATGAGTGTAAGTTGCATAGATGATGCAGGAATTCTGAAATGAGCTACTACTCTGTCCCCTAAAAAGACAAACTCTAGCTACGAATTTGAACACGCATGTATCCAGGTTTGTAGCTAGGATTAGACTCTTTTTGGGATGGAGGGGGTAGGTTACACCCCGAGTACGTATGCATGGTGTTTTGGTGAGCGAAATACGTAGTCAAAGTTCAATCCACATCCAAAAATGAGCTAGTGATGATGGTTATGCTCAGTAGATACGAGCCAAGGTAAATGAATGATCATAATACTCACCTTGGTTAGTGTGACAAGATAAAACTGTCACGTCCGCACTGTGTAGCGTGTCAGTGTTGTTTTGTTATGTTAGGCAGGCTGGTGTGGCCAAAAAATTCAGATGAGTTTATTATTAAAATTAAAAAAATAAAAAAGTTCAAAAAATAAAAAAAATCAAAGCTAATACAGGGTTCAAAAACAGCATATCATAAGATCACATTATCTGCCAGTTCTATAACTTTAGTCTTATTACCAGGCAGCCGGAGCCATGATTCTCTTAAGAATTTACATGAATATCTCTCTCGCGTACGAGTTATAGTTTCTTCATGTGAAGTATAAACACCTCAAATCCTATAAATGATTAAATAGCTTAGCCTTGGAGTTTTAACCCCTAGCTACTATAGTACATAGGGCAATTTATCATCCCCCGCTTATCTCTGCATCTATGGTAGAGCAAATTGGAGGCCAATGCAAATTGATTTACGACCCTTTCTCCTTATGGCTTAATTATTCAGTTAATCTTTATGAGAAAAGGATTGAAAAACTCCCCTCAGTTAATCCCATCTAAATCCCCTCAGTTATGTCGGAGAGTGATTAACCGAACAAGGCCTAAAACTACACATGTGATAATATAGGTTATTCTAATTTATACACGAACTATAAAATAGTAAATTGGCACGGAGTAGTGAAGGCGCATGCACAAACATATCGCGTGGTGCGGCATAGATTGCTAGAAAGGTACTCACAGCTCACCAAAACACTAGATCTGGCCAGGCTGAGCACATCCGAGCTCAACACAAGCCAGGACGGTCACACACAGCTGAATAGACCTACCTTTCATATCCCAGCAGAGCAGCTCAACATGAAACATATCTGTTGCCGCTTCGGCCTCAAGCCGGTACCCTAAGCAGTGAACATCCTGGTGCCTCCCAATCCCACAATAATTCAGCTAATCTCAAGGAAGGAATCCATATATAAGCGGCATTGATTCAATCACGAATGGTAAATGGGCAGCAAATTAGGCCTTATTAATTATTTGTTTGATGCCATTCAGTGTATCTCTCATGTTTTTTATCCTAGCAGCTGAATATATATAGTGGGCAAGTGGGCAAAAATGGGCAAATGTTTTTGATCCTAGCAGCTGAAAGCTCACGAGAGAAAAGAAAAAGGTAAATGGGCAAATGGCCTGGTGGTATTAACGCTATTTACCTACTACCCAGGTTAAGAGGAATAATTATAGCGCATGTGCTCTCCATTTTATGTAATGAATGCCAGATATTCTTTTCATGTTTTTTTATGGGGAAAAAAAGAATGGAAGACAATGATACACACGTAGAGATGCTTATAATTCTCAAGTTCATAATTAGCACTGGCAATTAGAAACATCAAAACAGCACTACCGTTTTCAATTTGTTTTCTTCTTGTACAGTTGTACAATGTTTCTTAGATAATGGAATAGAATCTTGGCCTTTGCTACAATTGTACTATGTAGCGAGAGGCATATATGATCCCATAAATAAGTGATCGAGAGATTTTACAGATCTTCGTATACAAAAAACGTCATGATCAATCCAGTTGTACAAAAGCTATTAAGATCATAGTTGTACCAACACAGCAAGTACAGGAGGAGCATGCCTCTGATCCTCTCGTGGCTCTTTCTGATTTAGCCTTGTATTGCTGCCTATAGCTAGCCTGCAGCACATGCACTTGAACCTAACATTACGCGAGGTGCTTCATGGCCTGGAAAGTCCATGTGCCTCCCAATCCTATGGTTCGAGCTACTAAGGAAAAAGGAAAATAGAAATTGATACTTGTTGGCCTTAGCATGTCCAGATCACTTTACCTTGAGCATATGAAAAGGAGAAAAGCAAGAGAACTGCCCTAGGAATTAATCCCTCACACACACCTCTACTTCTCTTGCTCTCTGCCTTCTAAGGCCAACAGCCCAAGAGTGCAGAAATCTACATATACACCCATGCAGCATCACAGCAGCTGAATGTCAAATGAAAATAAGTTGTAGCTATGGCCGCAATATGAACTCGGGCTATATATATATCAAAGAATCACGGCACTGTATTTCTAATTTAAATTTGAAGGCTCAACATTCCTATGCTTTGAACAAATGAAAAATACAGCAGCCGACCCGCTTTTAATTTGGCACTCTGAATAATGTCATGACAAGTTGCTTTTATGATTTATGTAAATTACTTTTAGGTTTTATTGAATTTTTTTTAATAAATATCTAAGAAGTAATTTAGTCAAATCTAAAAGTGATATTTACATATGTGACAAAAGTAATTTAATACACATATATATTTTTATCAGAATATAATTATGTGAGATCTTATTAAAAATATTTTATTGCAACGAATACAACAATGCAATCGGATCATAAATTGGATAAGTATTGTAAGAGAAAATTCTATAAGTTGAGAAAAAAAAGACATGCATGACCTGTAGCAAAATAGTTCTTCAGCTTGTCTGTAGACATACAGTAGTAGTTCTCTCACATATGGTCGGCGTCGCTTCTTAATCTAGTGTAGTGTGATAGGTCAAAGACGAGATGCCTCCCGATTTAGATTTTGCGTTTACGTAACATATGGTTGCAGAAAATTCACTTGGTATAGGACCAGTTAACAATTGCACTCATTTTTTTCCATTATTGTACCACCCATAAATTAAACTTAAGGAAACACAAAGGTGTTCGTTGAATTGTTATTCTCTTCCCCTTTTTACGACCTAAATCAACCTAACGCTCTTAATTCGGACATGAGCTCTGCCAGCTACCTCATGTGCTAGAGCTCTGCAATTCAGCCCTAAGCCTAAGCCAGAAAGATCATTTTGGTTTTTAAGCATAGTAAGTTAGTAACACAAAAGTCACACATACAAGTCGACTTCCTTTAAACAGGAAGCAATAAGCAAACTTAACATTTCGCATACTGCATGCTAATTTCTTTTAGTAAGACACAAGGAAAAAGATGGATCGAATCCTTTCAGATCTTCTACGTAGCAACGTGAAAATCACAAGGCAATATTCATACCCAGGCAAACAATCAGAAGACAAAGCAACCTCAAAAGAAACTGACGATTGCTTTACTTCCAGGCTACAGCTGACGAAAATTTCCGTCCTGATTGCTACTGGTGGAGAAGGCACCGATCTGATGGTGATTGTGCTTTCAATTCTCTTCGCCTGCGCAAAATCCAAGGTAGCAGGCATACTTGAATTCCTGATACATCCCAAGCCCCAGAATTCTTGCCAGAATTATATTGAGAACCAAACTCATGCCTGATTCCATGGCCTTGTGTATGCATCATGTAGGCATCCAACTTCCTTCTGCATCAATTCCTCTCGGTGTGTGTGTGTGTGTGTGTGTGTGTGTATGGTGTTCCTTTAATGGCTCATCACTTAACAAGGCTATGGAGAATTTTAACACTGACTGAATCATGTAAATTGTAAAAAAAAATGCTTATATAGGATGACACACCGATTTCGGATGACTGAAATCTCAAGCCAATCCTCTGCATACATTAGCACCTTTGAAAATCGTAATATATGTCAAACATACCAAGTGGTCACTTAAGACTGGTACAGGAGAGGAATGTGACATATTACGATGTTAATTAGCTGAGAGAGTGAAACATTCATGGTCATTTTATTCGGATCTACCTTGGCTCGCATGCAAGTGAAAATGAACCACCCGTCTTCTCGGGGCATACATCGCAACGTGCTGCAGCTATATCCTAATCAGAATCGGCGCTAACAAGAGCTGGGTTTGGAGAGAAGTTGAGTATAGTGCATTGGGATCGTCTGGTAGTCACACTGAGTTGATGCTACGGTTAGCTTCGGTTCCCGGTGCATCCCAATCCTATGGCTCATGAGCACAGCTTCTTTCTTTCTTTCTTTCTTATCCCTGCACATCTCGTGAAAGCTGAGTCTTCATCACATATTGTGCAGCATTTAAGGTAGTATTTGGTTGGTGCGATGGAATGGGTTGGGACGGGACGAACCTGTTTTTCGTAGCGTTTGGTTGGAGGATAGATGGGATGGGTTGGTCCCTTTAGAAGAATATTCCCCTCAGATCCAAGACCAAATCATCCAGCAAAAACGAGTGGATGAGTTCGTCCCACCTGGGTCGGATGCACGGCGTGAGAAAAGCTGCTTCGCTCCGCGTGCTCGTGCGTCCGTCCGCTTGCTCGCTCGCCGGTCGCGCTCCTCTGCCTGTCAGCCTGCTTGCCTACCGCGCCGCTCCTTCATCCGCTGGCCGACTTGCCGCGCTACTCCTTCTTCGCTCTCCTCCTTTGCCCGCCCGCCTGCTCGCACCGCTCCTCTGCCCGCCAGGCTGCCGTTGCGCTCCTCTGCCGCCCGCTCGCCTGCTCGCACCACTCCTCCGCCCGCCAAGCCATCATCCAGCTCCTCCGCCGCCCACCCGCCGTCTAGATCCTCCGCCGCCCATTTGCCTGCTCGCATGCTCGCGCCGCTCCTCCACCCGCCTGACTGTCGTCACACTCCTTCGCCTGCATGTGCTCCTCCTCTGCCCGCCCGCCTGCCCGTCCACTCATGTCACTCCTCTGCCTTCTCGTCACCGGCTTGCTTGTCTGATTGGGATCGTCCCATATCCTACAAACACTACAAGAAACTATTTAATCTGTGACGAAATTTTCGTGATGTTTTTAGAGATCGTCACGGATATTCGAGAGTATTATACTACTAGCAGAATTGATGTAAACAGTCGGTTCATAAGTACATATCAGTACTTTACGACGGAGCATTATTCCGCGCAAATCCTCCCACCTGTGTCGATCTACTACGGCTACTGCTCGGCAAAAATCTTTTTTGATACACGACTATCCTTGGATCTGCAGTATTGTATGGATAAGTTTCCAGCCGAAAGAGTCTACTCGTACAGATCTGTGGCTCGATCAGTAATATCATATAGAGAAAATCCCCTACGTATCTATGAAAGTTCACCTAATCCCTTCTATACCCCTGAATTTTGCTCAATCCCTTACATACCCCTAAATTTTAGTTTGGATCTCTTCCATGCCCTTTCCGCTAGTTGACCGTTAGTTGACCGTTAAATTCTTTTGAAAAAGTCCATTTTGCCTTTTCCTATGAAGAAACATAATAAATTAATGAAGTATATTGTTGGAATGTAAAAATTTATTGGATGAGACTATTATATTTATGAGTCTGTGATGCACCATATTATTTGTGACAAATTTACTTTTACATATGATATAAAAATTTAATACTTATTTATTAGTTATTAAAAGTTCTTTTATGTAGCATATGTGTTTTCATAGTAATATAACATATTTGTTTATTACTATCAGAATACATATGCTAAAAAAATAAATAAGTATTAATTTTTTATGTCATATCTAAAAGTATATTTATCGCAAATAATATGGTGCATAGCTATCTCATAAACATAATAGTCTCATATAACACATTTCTATGCTCCAACAATATACTCTATTAATTTATATGCTTCTTTATACCAAAGCGCAAAATGGACTTTTTCATAAGAATTTAACGGTCAACTAACGGTCAACTAGTTGAAATGGCATGGAAGAGATCCAAACTAAAATTCAGGGGTATCCAAGAGATTGAGCAAAATTCAGGGATACAGAAGGGATTAGGTGAACCTTCAGGGGTACACAGGGGATTTTCTCTATCATATATGTGGAACCAATTGATTCCATGAAGAAGTTTTCTACGAGTCCTATTTTCGAACTGAAACACTGTAGACGTACAAGTCCATAATTTATCTTTACTTTAGTTAAGGATCTGCAGTTCGCACTTTCTGGGCAAAATAAAGTGGAAAAAAATTATAATTTTACCCATATACTCCTATATTTGTTGGACAATTATACCTTATACACATTTCTACTACTGTTGACTAATGTGGTAGTACTATATAAAAAGATCTAAACCCTTAGATAAACTAGATAATCGGTTTAAATTAATTTCTACTAACAGTAGAGAGCACCACGCTTTTCCCTCCCTCTCGGGATTTTGGATATATACCTGAAACTAAAATTTAGTGTACACTGGATCGATCCTAGCAAATCCTACCATGTAATACCAAGCACTAATTAACTTAAAGAATTGATATCGAAACAGAGTGTAAACAGATGAGCATGGTCATCTTTCAAAATATCCAAATCAAACTTGGTATACGTAGAGATAAGGAGAAGTGCAGGGCGCCCCTCTATTCAGTTGGGACAATCAGCAAGTTAACCACAACAGCTAGATGAAATCACCAGGATCAATCTCGCTGCGAAGCAAGATCAGAAGTTTTTGGGGACCAAAGGAGTCTTCTGATCAAGATCACCCCAAGTTGGTTCGTCGTTCAGCTTCATCAGTTCCTAGTGCCGCCCAATCCTATTCTTCTTGGCCCCTGCATCTCGCGCTAGCTGTCGCATCATCAGCCTTTAGCACATATACAGAGACCATCAGCGCTAGCATGCCAACAATAACTTTGGGCACAAGTAAAAAACCAACAATTTAGTCTCCGTTATGTAGGTCAAAACGCAAATCTAAGCATGTGTTTCGTGTCCAAATTTACCCGTGGACCGCTACTATTTGGAGACATGCTAACTCTCCAAACATGTATGGTCACATTAATAGAAAAACGATTTTTATCAACGTTGGCTTTTTATTTTTTTTCAGGCGGACCAAAAAAAATACCCTCTTATAACCGTTTGCGAAAATAGCTAAAGAACCTCTAGATTTAACCCCGCCTGTGAAAATCTAGACGGACCTCTTAAGGAGCCTGCCTGGAAAATTGATTTTCGCAAGTGAAACTTTATGTGGTCCACCTACGAAAATCATGCCTACAGATCAACCTACTCATTCCCCTCCTCCTCTCTCTCTCATCACGCATTGGCTAGGGAGAGGAGTGGCGTCGGCGCCTTGGCAACGGCTCCGAGGAGGTCCGCCTTGGTGACGATGACGGTGCCGAGTCCTACCGCCGGCTGCGATGACGACGACAATGCCACTTGGATCTGCCGTCGTCGGCTCGCCTAGGCGCGCGGATCCACTGCAAGCTGGCCTCGGCCACGATGATGATGACTGCCGCAACGACGACGACGGCGTCGACGCCTGGGTCCTGCCACCGGCTGTGATGACGACGACGACGCCTTGATCCGCCGCCGGCTCACCCAGGCGCGCAGATCCACCGCCGGCTGACCTCGGGCACGCGGATCCGCTGCCGGCCTGCCTTGGGTCGTCGTCGGGAGAGCAATTCCACCGTTGGTTGTCCTCGGGCGCCTAGATCTGTCACAGGTTTGTTCGTGAGCAGTGACGGCTTCGACTGGCGACGAATTTTTGTTTCGTTGTGTTGATATGTGATGAATTTGTTTACTGGATTTGAGAATTGCGATGAATTTGTTGAATGGATTTGAGGATTTGATAAATTTGTTGAATGGATTTAGGGCTTTCGAATCTGCTTGTACGGGGGATTTAGAATTTCCCAGGTTTTTTTTTGCGCTATGCAAATATTTTCGCAGGCGGACCTGTTAAGGAATCCGCCCGCGAAAAATCAGTTTTTGCAGGCGGCCAGTTCACCCATCTGCAAATACACTATTTTCGTGGGCCTTTGCCTATAGGCGGTTCGAGTGGCCGCCTACGAAAAGCCGATTTGTCCGACTGTAAAATTGATTTTTCTAGTAGTATCTATGATAATACTAGATAACATAGCTGATAATATGGCATTCAAACCTGCAAGAAGCACACCATAACATCTCATCATCTCCTAATTAACCCTATAACTATCTCTGCCTACCTTTATTTTTCCAACTTCTACCCTCTTGTTTTCTGTCTACACTCTTCCCAAACTGTTATGTAGAAAAGTTGTCTTAACAAATCATATAAATTTAATTCTCAAGTTATTTTAGCTGATACTTAATTAATATTCGTTAGTCTACCGTTCCGGTTTTGCATGAGGGGAAGGTTCCCAACCCCAAAAGAATGCAGCTACGGTTGTGCTTGTAGTCTTGAAAGTTGAAAGACTCTAGAGCCATATTCCTATCTTGAGAAATTTATACGTACAAACTATTATCTCTTGTGTTTGTGTTCCTGTTTTCTTCATGTGAAGTATCAACACCTCAAAACCTACAGATAATTAAACAATTCTGGCCAGTGGTGGGGTTAGAAAATTTTTCGAGCCCAGACAAATTTCACTGTAACTATCATTTATTATAAAAGTTTCATCGTCAGTTTATTCAAAAATATTATAATTTAATAGAGCTTTCGTCCGGGATAGCCCCGGTTCCGGTTGCTAGTTTGTTTAGCCCCAATCGGCAAACATGAGAATGGCTAATTAATCTCCAGGTATTGGGCGGTAGAACTCAACGGACGAACAGAACCGTAATTCCAGTAGTGGTGCTGGCCTAAACACATCAAGCTCAACCAATTCAAGCCAACGGCACAAACATCGGTGTAGTTATCTGTTTTTTTTTCTGTACTGATCTGAAGAAATAAGAGTTTTTTTTTTCAAATCACCATATGCAAAGATTACATGACCTTTATCTTCACAACTAATTTTACCAAGAAAATATCACATTGGTATTGAAATATGTCACATCGGATAGGTTCTGTGCAATTCATTTACACGGAGGCAGCGACTGCATGCAGTGATGCAGATGCCCATAAACTCGAGCTTATAGGTAATTTGCTTCACCTTATTAGATACCTCGCACTGAGAAATACACGTGGTATATCAAAATAGTAAACCCCCAAATACACGTGGTATCATAGTATAAAATTTTAAACTACGATAAAGAAAAACCCAAAAACAACTCCAAAATTAGGTTATATTTTTTTTTGTTGCAGCTTATAGACTGAAGGGTAAACGAATGGGCAGAAGAAAAAGACCAATATCCACATACAGAAATGAAGAATTGACGATTGTCTTTTCTTGACTAGACTACCTACTAGTAGCTAGGTATTTGGACATAAGTAAAACCAACAATTTGATCTCTACTCTCTCATCCTTATTCTTAATAGCATTGTTAATGCATTCTCCTCCAAAATGTAGCAGGTCAAAATATAAACCTACCCCTCTCCTATCGCAAGCCTAGTAACCCTCCCAAGTATGTATGGACAGTGGAAATCATGAACAAAGTTGGCACGCCGCTTCACGCTGCGTAGCAAAAGATCCCATTGTCTCCCAATCCTATACAGCATTGCTCTAGCTACACCGGCACTTGCCGTCTCCTCACCGCGCACCATTCACTAGCTAGGCAGTGAGCAGTTATGCTCTCAAATCATGCGAACTTTGCGAAGTATGAATTAACGCCTCAAATCCTGCAGATGATTAAATAGTTCAGCACTGGAACAGTGTGGTTGAGCTGAACACATCCAAGCACGTCCCAGGCATTCACATCCATCCAAGGCCTGGTAGATCCACCTTACTGATCCATCCAAGCATAAAACCTTTCACCTGCTAGTGCTAGATCATCCTCAAGCCCGTAGCCTGAAAATCCTGGTACCTCCTAATCCCACACAGTCTAGTTCATCTCAGCAACATAATCCACAAGCGCCATTGACTCAACCACGAATGGTAAATGGGCAGAAAACAACTTCGTCTCTTGCCATTCCGTGTATCTCTCAGGTATTGCTTCTAGCAATTGGATATATATATGTATGGTTGCTCGAATGATTCCTTGTTATGTCTGAAGCTGACAATAAAAAGGCACAGCCAATCAACTGGTATTAAGGCTATTAAAATTCCATAGCTACCCAAGTTAAGAGCAGTGTTTGAAATTTTGGAACGAAATTTCGGAAATTTCGCCCCCCCCCCCCACCGAAATGCTAACATCTCACCCGAAAATTTCGGTTTTTTGCAATTTTTGTGAATTTGGTCAGATTTTATTCGAATTTATTCAAAATCCGTCAAAAATTCAAAAAAATTCGTACGAAATTTCGGTTCTTTCGCTCACCAGCGGCAGAACTGCTGCTTTCGAAATTTAAAACCCTGGTTAAGAGGAATAATTGGCCTAGAATGTTTCACCAAAGAGTTGATAGAGACAAAAGCTGAAGTAATCTAAAATGCTTGAGACGCTTGCCAATGCCCTTCACTGGGGATTTCGGACACATCGGCCTGAGATTTCTAATCCTACTCTGCATGAAAACTAGACCAAAGCAAATGATCATGACATAAATACCGAAATATGTACTTGCCCAGATAATCAAACACTGCTCCTGTGTTTCTCTCCTTCTGGATGATCCGTCACAACATCAAACATAGGGAATTAAGGACAAGGCTTGCCATGAAGAACAAACATAGGGGATTAAGGACAAGGCTTGCCATGAAGAACATCTGGTAGGCCAATGATACAGTGAAATGGCCATGTGTCTCCAACTCCCACCACACAGTGTCTTCTTCATCTGGGTTCAGGGATATCTCCGGATGTTCATCAGCTGGAAGCATCAAGCATCCCATGGGATTGGTGATGTTCATCTGGAAGCATCCCATGTTCGAATGAACCCTGTTCGAGTCAGTTGGATCTCCAGAGCTCAGTGATTGCCCCCCATCTCCCACCTGAAACCTGGTTCTGGTATAAAACATGCTCAGAAATCGCTCCACTTTGTGTTCAGCCCTCGGATTGTCCATGGTCACCCAGACAAAGTAACCAAGATCACTCTCATGAGAGCTTGATCAGGAGCTGAGTTTGGAGACCATGGGAGTATTGTTGTAGTCACCAAGATGCTTCTTCGTTTAGTTTCATTCCCAGTGCCTCCCAAGCCTACGGCCGGCTAGCTCATGAGCACAACCCATCCTTTTTCTTGGCCTCTCGATCGTGCTATCTCATCAAACTTTAGAACATCTTATGCAGAATTTAAATGGGTTCTTCAACCCCTGCAAATCTGCAATGATTTATGCAAGGATGCCTGGCATACGAAATGATTCACACAATCTTGCCACAGAAAGCTTTGGTTTACAACAGAGTGATAATAGTAAGTTCTGTAGATGATGCATTCATGAAATGCATAAGAAGAAGAATGATGGGGTAATTTTTAAACTCGACTTTGAAAAAGCTTACGATAAAGTAGACTGAAGATTTCTCCAACAGACGTTGAGAATGAAAGGATTCTCACCACTTTGGTGTTGGTGGATAGATAAGATTGTCAGAGGGGGTAGTGTAGCAATTAAGGTGAACGATGAAGCTGGAAACTTCTTTCAAGGGGATCCATTATCGCCGATCCTCTTTAATTTGGTGGCTGACATGTTAGCAATCTTGATTAAAAGGGCAAATGAACGAGGGAGCTTTCATGGGGTGATACTGCATCTGGTAGATAATGGGCTATCTATCTTGCAATATGCAGATGATACAATCATCTTGATGGAACATGATCTAGAAGAAGCCAAAAACCTCAAACTTGTACTAAATACATTCGAGAGGTTAGCGGGGTCTAAAGATCAACTTCCACAAGAGTGAATTGTTCTGTTTTGGTAGGGCTAAGGAAGTGGAGAGAGAGTATGTCACGTTGTTTGGCTGCGGTTCCGGTAGGTATCCATTTAGATATCTAGGGATCCCAATGCATCACAAAAAATTGTCAAACAAAGATTGACTTACAATCGAAGAGAGAATTCAGAAAAAAATGAGTAGTTGGAAAGGAAAGCATCTATCAGTAGGTGGTAGATTAGTGTTGATAAACTTGGTGCTTAGCAGCTTGGCTATGTTCATGCTCTCTTTTTTTGAGGTACCTAAAGGTATTCTCGAGAAGTTGGACTATTATAGGTCACGTTTCTTTTGGCAATGTGAAGAACATAAGAAGAAGTATAGGTTGGCTAAGTGGAGCATTTTATGCAAGCCAAAGGAATGTGGGGGTCTTGGGATACAGAACCTAGAACTACAAAACAAATGCATGTTAAGCAAATGGTTATATAAACTTTGGAATGAAGAGAGAGTTTGGCAAAACTTGTTAAGAAGGAAATACCTATCTAAGAAAACTTTGACTCATGTAGAGAAAAAACCAGGGGATTCTCATTTCTGGTCAGGACTCATGATGGTTAAGAACATCTTCCTTTCTTGTGGATCATTAAAAGTGCACAATGGGACTCAGGTCAGATTCTAGGAGGATAAATGGAACGGGAATACTCCCTTTGCTGCTCGTTACCTGGCCTTATACAACCTTGTGATAAACAAGAATGAATCAGTGGCAGTGGTTATGAGTAAAAGACCTCTAAAAGTGTCCTTTAGGAGGGCTATTGTGGGTCATATTTAAAAGCTTGGTTGGAAGTGGTCTCAAAGGTTATATCAATAAAATTGACCGAGCAGAATGGTACCTTTTTGTGGGAGATACAAAAGAATGGGCGTTTCTCAGTTAACTCAATGTACAAAGCAATCATGTACAGGGAAGTCGTTCCTAAAAAGGACATGATTTGGAAACTCAGAATACCACTAAAAATTAAAATTTTCTTGTGGTACTTAAAGAATGGAGTAATTTTAACAAAGGATAATTTAGCCAAAAGGAAGTGGAAAGGTAATGTTAAGTGTTGTTTTTGTGATTCTAACGAATCAATTCAACACCTTTTCTTAGATTGTATTTTAGCAAGATTCATGTGGAATGCAGTCTATATATCTTTTGGAATTCACCCGTCTAGGAATGTTGCTAGTATGTTCGGCAATTGGCTAAAGGGGGTTTAACCCAAGCTAAGAGCTCAAATCCTTGTGGGGATTTCAGCTTTGTGTTGGGCGGTTTGGTTATGCCGGAATAATGTAGTCTTTAATGGCTCCAATACTAATTTTCTGTTGCAGGTGATTTTCAGGGGGACTTTTTGGGCAAGACAATGGTCTTTGCTACTTAAGGAAGAAGATGGCCAAAAAGTGAGAGAAGGTTGCTTGATTCTAGAGAAGAGAGTTTCTGGCTTTTTCGCAATGAAGGGATGGAACTTAAGGAAAAGATTGGGAGATTAATGCTCTCTGGTTTTCTTGTGTGGTATGGTTGAAACTTTGTATTAACTTTTTAAGAATTTCTGTTGCTAGAGCCTAAGTACTCGGGTCTAGTTGCTTGTGATGGTGTTAAACCTTGTGTAAGGGTGTGAGTTTATGTACTCTTGTAAGTTTCGTTGGGGCTGTGTACATCCTTTTTTGGGTGTAGAGGCCGGTTTAATCCATTATCTAAAAAAATGTAAAGGATGCACTATATGGCACTCTGAAGTAAGGTTTCCTGAGTATGGTCTTTTGGTGAACAAAAGATGGGAGATGGATTTTTATCGCTCGAGGAGATATCCTCTCGTTTTCTTATTTTGTACATGGCATTGAAAAAATCATCAGAAAATTTTGAGAAAAAAAATGGAAAGACAGACCAGTATGTGATGTGTCATTCCACAACCATGTAAGCTTAAATTCAACTTGTACAATTAGAAACAAATATAGCAAATTTGACTGTGAATTACGTGTTTTATTCAAAGTCGAATTTGTTGTATGAGTTGAATTTAAACATGCATGTTTGTAGAGTGGCATATCACATATTGATCTAGCTTGCTTTTTTTCAATTTTTTTAGTGATTTTTTGAGTGATATTAAAACAAGAAGACATCCTGTCAAGGTATAAATAGTTTCCTAAAAGGTGTATATTTTGTAAGACTACAATCTAGGGATAGAGAGAGAGAGAGAAGAGAAGAGAAAATCTAAGAAAAAAAGTTCAATCCACATCCAGAAATGAACCAGTGGTTATGGTTTTGCACTCACTAAAAACCAGACTAGCTACACCGTAATACACTTTGAACAGCTACATAATACAGAGTAGCAGCAGCGCTAATATACACAGTTTGGGGACAACTGCACAAATAAACCCAACAATTTAGCTATTTAGACGACCCTCTCATCCTTCTGCATTCTTCTCTAATTTTTGGATCGAAACACAAATTTATGCTTGTGTGTTATGAGCCACTACTATTTGGAGCCCCCACTATCCTCTGCACATAAAGATCAGAGCTTAGTGGAGGCACGACGAAGCTCATCCCGAGCTTACACAGCCATCCAAAGCTGTATCCTTAAAATGCGCAAGCTGCTAAATGATTGTCAGTCTCTAGCCTGAAAATGCCGGTGCCTTCCAACCCACGTTTTAGTTCATCCCAAGGAAGAATGGTAAATAGAGAGCAAATTAAATGGTAGAGGCTATTTAACCTCCATGGTCATCCAAGTTAAGAGGAATAATTGGCACGGGTGCTCTCTGTTTATATATTTATTATATACAGTGCATGCTAGAGATTCTAGTTATATTTGTCTTTCTAAAAGAATTGATGGAGACAATGATATACACATGCACATAGAGGTACTTGGAATCTGAAACTCATATAGGTATTGACAATTAGAAGCCTCAAATCAGCACTATGATTTTTGGGATTATTTTTCCTTGTACTGAACAACCTGCGTACATAGCTAGATGCATACATATGATCTGAAAAAATAAAGATCTTAAGAAATCTTCGTAGACGAAGATTTCATGATGTAACATCCCGTCTCTCCCAGGCCGGGCCCGCTTACATATGGTAGCTTTCATAGGTCATAGACTGCCCTCACAGATCAACTTTGTCCTTACTAGTGAGTGTGAACTCAGGAAGAACTTGAAGAACTTACATATCTTTTCTGCACACTTGAAGAACTTACATATCTTTTCTGCACACTTTATCCGTCCTTACTAGAGCCCTCACAGACCAACTTTGTCCTTACTAGTGAGTGTGAACTCAGGAAGAACTTGAAGAACTTACATATCTTTTCTGCACACTTTGTCTGTCCTTACTAGTGTGAACTCAGGAAGAACTTACATATCTTCTTCCCGATCGGTCACCCGTCCCTAAATTGCTCCAAGCCAAGCACGATTAACCTCAGAGTTCCTTAGTGATCGGCTTCCGAAAAAAAAGTTGCAACTTGTTGATATGAGTATTTTATTAATCCTATTAAGTACTAGGCTGGGATGTTACATATGATTAACATCTTTTTTACGGCATGACAAAGATGATAGATTTGCTGCACGTTAACTCTCTCGTGGTTCTTACTACCCATGCCTCCATAGCTACTTATGGTCTGCCATACACACCCTCTGCAATACCACTGGCGATGTATGAGCCACTCACGTGGGACCAGACCCGCTTGTCAGTGACTTCTAGTTCTAGCCGCAGTGCAAAGGATCTATGCGCATTTTATCACAACTGTTGCATGGCCTAAAGTCCCAGTGCCTCCCAGTCCTATAGTTCGAGCTACTAAAAAAGAATATATATATATATATATATATATATATATATATATATATATATATATATAGGACACTCATATGGGGCACCATGGTGCCCGGGCACCATGGTATGAAATACACAAATTCGTCCAAATTTTTCAAAATTTTCAAATTGTGAGTATATACCTAGTTATAAGTATTCGATTCATACCTATACCTAGCAACAAAACAACTCAAATTTAACTTTATTTCACAATCCATTATTACATACCTAACTAATTATATGTTTGGATGCTATATACCTAGAATCAAAATCTAACAAAAGCAAGTTTGAATTCAGTTCAAACTTGCTTTGAACTAGTTAGTAAAGTAGTTAACGTTAATACCTAAATATTTGAAAAAGTTTCATACTCATTTGAATTGGGTATATAGTAAATTTCAATCATGGTGCCCGGGCACCATGGAGCACCAAACAAATTTACTATATATATATATATATATATATATATATATATATATATATATATATATATAAAGGGCTTCATTTCGTTAGAAAATCACATATTCATTTCCTTCGTATGAACAGAGAAAAATATGATGACTCAAAGAACCCTACCACGAACTTTGTACAGCGTGCATTACTTAGAACGACTAGGAAAGTAAGATAAGATAAGCAAGAATAAAAAAATATTTGTCGGAATAGCGGAATAGAAAATTAAGAAATGCAAAAATGCAGAAAAAGAAGTGCCTCTATTTAGAGATTTATCTACTTAGATGAAAAAAATCATACTCTATCTATATTATTAACGAATATGTATCCCAACCCATCTCGAGGTATTTGTATCAATACCTATTCGGAAGATCCCTTTTTTCTGTGCCAGGAACTAAATTTGAACTGGTGACACGAGGATTTTCAGTGTATGTATGTATGTATGTATGTATGTATGTATGTATGTATATATATATATATATATATATATATATATATATATATATATATATATATATATAACTAGGTATATACTCACAATTTAAAAATTTTGAAAAATTTGAGTAATTTTGTGCATTTGAAACCATGGTGCCCGGGCACCATAGTGCCCCATATGAGTATCCTATATAGTAAATTTGTATATATATATATATATATATATATATATATATATATATATATATATATATATATATATATATATATATATATATATATATATAGAGAGAGAGAGAGAGAGACTTCTTGGCTTAGAATGCGCCCATCCAGCTCACTTTACCTTGAGCATGAAAAAGGAGAAAAACAAAAACCAAAGAATTGCACTAGAAACCCCTCCTGTCGTGCATACACGCCTCTCTCGACTTGGTTTCTCGGTGTCTCTGTGTACATGTCACTGCATATATTGCTCTTTTACTCTGCCTTTTAAAGGCCAATGCCATCTGTTGTGCAGCTCATCTACACGCAGGCAGCAGCTGCAAACTCATGATGGCAGCCCATGTGTGTTCTGCCGCTCAGGCAGTGCATGTATGCTGCGGTTAATGCACTTGGCTTTCATATAGAAAAGCAAACAATGGTTTTCTTCGACAACTGCAAGTACCCCATGTAAAAGAAAGATGAGATAAATCACTGGTTACACACTTACCTACGAACACCAAAGAAAATGCCATCAGACTGCCACAGCCTAGAGCAACCTTCTTTTTTTGGAACAATATGCACAACTGCCGTGCAAAATTATAGCCGCAGACAAATTAAAGCCAGTTGAGCAGTTTTCAGCTCTTTTGGTGCAAGGGGCTTTGTATACATACATAACTTAAAACATAAGATGTAGCTATGCCTGCAACTATGAACTCAGGCATTCAGCCACCTCTCGCACCCGAAATAGCAAAGAATCACGGCACTGAATTTGTAATTCGAAGGCTCAACTAAAGGCCCTGGCTGTGGCTGGGGTCCAGCATCCAAGTCCACCTAAACAAATGTTGCTCTTCTACATACCTCTATGTGGTAGTGAATGGTTAGTCATCGCCGCCACCATCATCAGCCTCCACGGGATCATCATCATACCCTTCATCCTCTTGGTCGCCAGCATCGTCGACATCCATGAGTTCTTGCCCTACAACTGCTTCGTTTATTGCTTCCAATGCTTGCACAGTCCTCAGCTCCGGAGGAGCTCTCTCCACTTTCATGGTTTTCAGCTTATCATCCACAAAGAATGCGGTGAATGGCTTCGGAACCTACAAGGTGCTCATAGTTAGATTCATTCAAGTGTTTACTTCCTATGCTTTGAACAAAAGGAAAAGGTGGCAGCAATCAAACCTGGAAATAGCGACCCCGCTCTTTTGCACTCTCAACAAGGTTGTTCCAGTGTTTATCTTCCTTCAATGTTGAAGCAGAACCTACAACCTGTGGTATGACAAGTATTATTTGGATTGATAACTAAACCAACAAAGTTAACTACATAAGCAAATAGTGATATAGCCAGAAACAACTGATTGACCAGATATCCAGTCTATGATTTACTTTTACTAGCCCCTGTGCAATGGATGGAATCCAAGAAAGTTACATATTGCACAGCTCACCAATCTCAGAAAGGGACTTTACATTATGAACGTAAGATAAAACCTCACATGACAGAACAAAAATTGCAGCAGCCACCTTGAACTAGCATGCTGAGCAGTACTGTATGAGAGAGATGCTCCTTGCTTTGTACACACTTCACTAGGATGCAAAACTCTCCATTATTGAGTAAAAACATGCCTCTGTACTCATATGAGTGCATATCCGCTGTGTATTATGCAAAAGACGGTACTGCTTGACTGCAGATCATGCAGAAATTGGTATGACATGTAAGGATTGGAGTTTGCATAGATTACTTACTAGTACAGCAGACCTAGCTCTTGTGATGGCGACATTCATTCGTCGAAAATCAGAAACGAACCCAATCTTTTGTTCCTTATTGCACCGAACACATGAGAAAATGACTACTTCCTTTTCACGCCCCTATATGTGAGCATCAAGAACAAACATTACAAAAGTTATAATCACTGTGATTTGCTACAAATCTACATATACAGCAGGTCTGCATTTGCATGCAAAACAAACCTGGAATCCATCAACTGTATTTACGTCTATCACTTCCTTAGACTGATCACCGAAGGTCGACCGAAAATGGTCCTTCAAGAGCTTCACCTGATGCCTGTATGGTGATATGACAGCTACCTGGGAACTAGATTTGAGTTCTGGATAGCGCATAGCCATTTGATGATATAAGAGGGTTATGAATTCCACTTCATCCTCATTCACCCATGAACCACTTCCAGATGGTTGGGACTCAGTCCCATCCACATCAAAGAAGCAGAATGGGCCGAAACAGCTGTAGGAATGCCATGGACGTTTCTTGCTGAGTCCCTCCCCGTCTTCTAGGACACCTTCGTAGAATTCTTTTGAGGGGAATATACTAATCTGTTTTTTAGTGGATTAATAAAATAAGAAAACGACTCCAGTCTCCATCTTTTAAATGAATTTAGGCAATATTACCTCTGGGTGCATGCGATACTGAATTTTGAGCATTTGCACAGGAAAACCTGCAGCCTGAAATCTCTTGAATAAACTAGTACCGTACCTAATGGATACATTAGTATTATTTAGAATGTTGTAAAACCTTACATCCAGAGTATGTATAGAACAGAGAGAGAGAGAGAGAGAGATCTTACCCTAACTTCTGAGCAGTAGATGAAATTACAGTTGCAGGCAACTGAACTGGGTCACCAACCTGACAAAATATTAACAGAAATAGTTAGATATGAGATCACAATCAGCTCAGATGAAAGCTTCATGTATCAGGGTATCTAGAGAAACAGTGTGTGCAGACGCACTGAGAAATGAAAACACATGGTCAGAGAATCAAATCTAAGCTAGTGAAAGATCTCTGTGTACTCCAGCAAAATAAATTTAAAAGTGCCATGCCCATGTATGATTTCTTTGCTGAGCAAATTAACAAGGTATTATAATGACAAAATGGTAAGGCATAAAGATAAGGCTCATAGTTGAAGAGAAGGGCAACATAAATCGTAGATAGGTGGATGTCATACAAGAAAAACTTGTTTGCACCCATGGATCAAGGGTATAAGAGTTGCTGGTTCTACCTGAAAAAAGAAGGGGATATGCCAAACTTCAGAATTTCAACATAACAGAAAGTCAGAAACTCATAAAATACCATTATCTAAATCTGAGAGTGGCTAAATGCTCCATCGTGTAACAATCTGTATAAAGCAAACACTCACAGCTTGTGCAGCTTCATCAATTATAACAACATCAAAAGCACGAGCCATCCTGCTGAAAATGGATGATCCACTAAAACTTAGCGTAGAAAACACCTACAAATTTTGCTTGACAGTCAGAATCAAATATTAAATGATTCCTGGAATACTGAAATAAGCAAAAGAATGTGAAATAAGAAAATGAATGTACGATGGCTGCTTCATCAAGAATGGAAGATCTAATTCGATCATATTCACCAGCCCCTCGTCTCCCACCATCTGATGAGCGATCCACACCAGAAAGTTTTTGTTGTATCTGCAAAGATATCAACTTATCAACTCACTGTAATTGAGTTGGACAGAAAATACTTAGCAACTAAAATCACGTACAAGGTAATCCATGGAAACTGCTTTAACAGAGTGATGCGCCTTCAGTCCAATTCGCACAATCTTAGGATTATAGGTGTTGTTATTTTCATCGCGTATTCCTGAAAGGAAGAAGAATAATAATTTAGATGATTGATTTTCCGATCAATAAATTAGTGACCAGATGAGCCTAAGAAATGTTGTTTAGTTTGTAGCACATGGATGCAATTGAAAGAGTATTTTTATTGTCAGAACATTTTTCTGAATTGGATCAGTCAGCACAGAAACCCCTTTACCTGTTTGCAGAACTCGCAGCACAATCTCATCAAGTGCTGAGTTGGATGGAGCACAGACCAAGACATGGGCCCGATACTTGCGATTGGAACTTACGACCTCAGGTTTCTATCAAGACAGGTGTTTACCATGTAACAAAAATACAAAATTCATACAGGCATCATGGCAAATATAGCAAAGTACAGAGCACAGAAGCTTACTAGCTCATTCCCAGTAGGATAAAAACCATCATCGCCGTCAACAGGCATAATTAAATCTCGAGGATTTACACCAATCAGCCACGGGGAGGCCTTCATCCAGTGTGCATGCCTATCACATGAGCTCTGCAGTAAGATAGTGCAACAGATATTTGCAGCAGTATTATGTAGCAAATAAAGGAACTGCATAATTCCACAGAGTAAGAAAAGAAAAAAATACACTGAAAAGAATTTCTTTATCAGTTCCCATACTACATATAAAATCCACATGCTGAGTGATCACTAAATATGATAGTACAAATGTAAAAATAGCTACAATCTTCTCCCTCTAACAAACACTAAGAGAAGTACCATAAAGTAAGGTGAATTTGTTATTTCCAAACACCATAGAGAACTTGTTTAAAGGAGGAAAAAAGCAAGCAGAAGAAATGGACAAAACAAGAAAATTAGCTGAGGATGAAGCAATTGAAAAGAGTCCAATTCATTAACATACTTGCCCTCAATATCAAGCTCTGGACCGTGTTTTTTAACATCAAAACCACCTCTGCATGACAAGAACGTAAATCATGTCAGATACATGTAGCTTTTGGAAACTGTATTGAACACTTATATTTATGTTTTAGCTTCTAATATCTCTTTTTTTATATATCAAGGTTTCTCCTCTCCATAACAGAAAGATACTAGTCTACATTTCACTCAGTAATAAATATACACAGGTGAAGATATTACTTGGTTTGCATTCTTGCAGGAGCAGAATGGAGAACAGCACTGAGGAGTCCAAGGATAGTTTGTGTTTTTCCTGTTCCTGGGGGCCCCTACAAATATACATTGGAGTTCTATATGAATGGCAGGTGACAACAAGTAGAGCACATGTAGCTGCATATACTCTAGTTCTCAAGGCACTAGCATTTCTCTAAAATAGGTTAATGATAAATAATACTGAAAAATAAACAAATATAACTGGAAATAAGCAAACAAACCTGGATAAGAACAAAGGATCTGCGAGAAAGACCTGCCTGCAAGAGATAATGCATTGATCAATCAGACATCTGATTTTTCTTAGAACTAAATTGAGCAACAAAAAAGGATATTAAGAATAATGCTCACGTTGACTGCATCTAGTTGTGAATCATTAAGGTTTGTTTTAAGATAATCCATAAGTGGCTCAGGGACATTCCAAGCACGGTTTTGATCATTCCCACCACTGTTCTTCTCACTAGCTGAAAGAATCAGATCCTTAAAAGGAAGTGATGCTACAGAGTGCATGCCCGAGAATTCTCGCATTATGGTAGACAAGCTGCAAATCTGACAATTTTAACCATAAAAGAAAATAGCATATTCATATGTGTTGTCAATGAATTATGCAAGCATGAAAACTCAGGCATTCTTTATTAGCAGTTGAAACTCACCTTTAAAATCCAGAGGAAGCTCTCTGTAGTTGAAAAAATGGAAGCAATACGCTGCAGCCTAGAACAGCTCACAGGCTTTGCTACATTAAGATTTTTTATTTCACCTGCCACAAATGTCCTTAGAGAAATCGTTTCTCTGCCACCCCGCTGTTCCACTAAGGCAAAGGCATATGCACTGGGGGTCACTCCCTCTTCAAACTACAAAAGTGCAGATATATATCAATGTGATGAATTTTCAATCATAACTTCTTTCTTGAAGAGATATCGCATAGAATCGATGGAGCATTTTGCTAGCCTGGCATATTATCTAAAACCATGGAAAGCACTTTTTCTGGTGAAATTATGTCTCAAGTTCCCCATAGCCCTTCCAAATGTAGGAGCGCAGATAAGTAACTAACATTGTCTTGAGTTCTTGACACGCTATATGTTCCACTAAATTCTGTAGCCATCTATACCTTTTGAAACATTTCCTATCACACCACTAAGGTGCTAAAGCACTTACTTTCTCTTTGGACAGCAGCAGGAGATCGTTCTCCGACACCATCTCCCGGAAATCATCAAGCACGGCCATGGACACCTTGTGGAACCCCTCCGACTCGGTGCACGACGCCACAATCCCCTTCTGCCAGTCCTGCCCAGCCTCTGCCCACACAGAAACGCAAGGGAGAGAAAAACAACACACACACACACACACACACACTGTTAAATAAACCGACAGCAAATTGGGGGGGCAACACGAAATCGGGCGCGCCACCCACCCACCCACCTTCCTCCTCGTCGCTGCGCCCCTGGACGATCTGCGCCTTCACCTCCTCGAACAGCAGTGGCTCGAACACAGCGAGGTACTCGGCCACCGAGGCGTACGTGTTCTTCACGCGCCCCAGCCCCTTCGCCTGCTGCTGCCCGCCCTGTCCTCCCAAGCCGCCATATAGAAAAAAAATTCAAAGGTGGTGCCGGTGATTGCAAAGCGAGCGCTCGGGGCGGGGCGGGGAGGGGCGTACCTTGGAGTCCGCGACGAGGCGGACGTAGTCCCAGCTGAGGACGATCTTGTGGAAGCGGTCCATGGTGGAGGCGGCGACGCCCGACGAGGAGGAAGAGGCGCCGCCTCCGCCTCCGCCGCCGCCGGATTTGTCCACCGCCATTGGGGCGGCGGCGCGGCGGCGAGAGAAGGGGGTTCTGGGGTTTAGTGAGCCGCCGGCGCTGCAGCGGCAAACAGCCTCGCTCTGGAAAGAAGGAAAAGGAACGAGATGAGAGCAAACAGAGAGAAAGTGCGATCAGTGGCGGGCCCAGGATTTAGAGGTTAGGTATTCGAAATAGGTAGGGGTAAAACAAAATTCTTTTTACTTCCAGAAGTCCAATAATTAATTGGTATAATATTACACATTACTAATTGTATAATATTATAGCATATAGAACACAAAATTGGCCATAACTTTATAAATTGATAGAATTGATCATAAGTCCAAATTCTTTAACATATATAAGTACTAATTGTTCGACATATGAAAGTGGCAACATATATAACATGTAAAGGATAGAAAATGGTAAAATGATAAAAAAAACTTACAATTTAGAGGAGAACTTTTCAATGCTTGATATTTTAAAAATGAGTGATGATGTCCTCATCCTTTAACTTGTACAAAAAATTCTCTTCCAATAAATGCAGATTGTTGCTCATCTTGCTTCTTGTTTTTATATAGTTCATCGAAGAAAACACCCTCTCTAAATTCTCTAAGTTCCTAACAACAGCTCATATATAGCCTCATACTATCATCATATATATAAATTTAACACACTGAAAATTAAATATTATGGTTCTAAGTTATCTAAATTCCTAATATTTACAGCTTTATACTATCAATCTATCAATAAATATACACTTAACAGTTAACACTCTGAAAAATAAAGAAGACAGGAACTGAGGAAGTTGAATCCTTCGGTGCTAGTGAACTATTGAACTACTATAGAACAAATCAATGAAACAAGCCGTCGCCACCAGAAAACATAACTACTATTGAACTACCTAGAACAAATCAATGCAATGAATCAATGAATCAAGCCCCTCACGCAATCCATGCCAGGCCGGCGAGCCGTGGTCGTTCGGCCGCCGCATCGCGTACCTGTGTGGTGGCCTGGCGGACTGGCGGCCTGCACGCCTGGCCGAGCCCCAACGCCGCACGGCCGCAGCCGTCGACGCGCCGCCTGCACGCCTCGGCGCCTCCTGCCGCCGACGCAGCCGCGCACGCCGCAGCCGGAAGCCTCCGCCGCAGCCGCCGACGAGCACGCTGCAGACTAGACTGCAGTCGCCGCCGCCCGACGCGCCGCCTAGGCTCCTACCCGCCTTGGCGCCGCCTTCCGCCGACGCAGCCGGAAGTCGCCGCCGCCGCACTGCCGCACGTCCTCGCCGCCACACCGCGCACGTCCTCGGTCCTCTGGTTAGGATTTGGCCGATTTGGGAATTAGGGCTTTGGTTTGCTGTGCCTAGGCGAGGAGGGGAAATGAACTAGTTGTGGCCCAAACTGATTGTGGGCTGAGATGAAAGGGGAGGGAAGTGGGAAATTTAGGCCCAATAGAGAAGAAACGATGAAACAGGGCCCAAAATGAGTAGTTTTAGCCTTTTTCTTTAATTTCTTAATACATATACGAGGTATAGAGTACATATACTTATTTTTTATCCAAAAATCTTGGGTATACGTCTGAATACCCTTGAATCAATAGTGGGCCCGCCCCTGAGTGCGATGCTAATGGTTATGGCCATGTAATGGGCCTGAGCCCATTTCTGAAGTACCCCCAACGAACATGGGGCAACTCCGATGCAAATCCACAAACGAAAGTTTGATGAAATGGGGCTTCAATTACTTGTGCTGTGGTTAGCGCATTAATCATTGTATACAAAATACAAAAATTCGCTGCTGGACACCGTATCTATTAAAATATTTATTTCTAATTTAATAGAAGAGAGAAATCATAAAAAATTTACTGCTGGACACCACACTTATTAGAATATTTATTTACAATTGAATAGAAGAGATAAATCACGTATAAGTCTCCATCTCCTCTCTCTCTTTCTCTCAGCTTTCTCTCTCGCTCTCGGTAGGATAAATTAGCCTAAAGTATATAAGTCACATTTAAGGTTTCTTTAATAATAAAATATGTCACAGTAAAATAAATGATATCCTATATACCTATACAAATCATCCTCACTGTTAGAATTCTCCGCTTCCTGGTGCTTCCATGTCACCCTTTTTGTCCTCACCGTTGGATCCGCATCAGCCGTTCCTCCCGCATCGCTCCTCTCCTCTCATCTCCCGCATCTTGCTACGGCGCCAGCCCCACGCGCATCGCTCCCCACCTCTCCTCTCTCGCATCTCGCTGCTTCGCCGGCCCCACGCGCATCGACTCCCCTCTCCCGCATCGCTCTCCTCCTCGATCGTGGCGGGCAGCCAGGAAGCGCGACCACCGCGCAAACGTCGTGCCTCTTCCATTCACCGCGCCGCTTGCTTTGCTGATTTTATGGTGACTCTCCTCCTCCCAGCGCTGTTGTGCGTAGTAGTTGAGGGATCACGACCTCCTGTGGTTCGCTCCCCATTCACCCAGATCCCTTCGTTTACACTTCGATCTCCTTCCTCTCACATCTGTATATCATTGGCAATAAGCATAAAAGCCATCGAATCCGTTTCCTCCGACTATCAAATCGTCGCCCATCTTCTCAAACTTCCCCTCCACTTTCATCTCCCTCACATGTATGTATGTCGGGGCACCAAGTTGAGTCCAGCTGCACATCGCCTACTCCTCTTCGGGCTAAAGAACGCACTTTTTTTTATCAAGGGTGGCCCTTGCTGTGCCCAGCGCCATGGAGGTAAGCACCACCACCGCCTTTCTAATCCATGAAGGTAAGCACCATCATCGTCAATTTTGCAGCCCAAATACAGAACAGAAGGAGGTCGCTGGCACTGGGCAAAATTGCTCAACTTGCCGATTATTCAGAGCCGATTATTCAGAGCTGAAGGAGCACGCCAATAGCAGGATGATGCCTTCTGATTCATCACTATATCTATGTGACCAGGTCTGACCGTCTGAGGCATTGTCCAACTTTCATATGTAATTTTTGCATACTACAAATGGATTCAGAATTGAAGACACTATTCCTAACACAAAGGTAACCATATCTTCCAGCGTTTAAACACTTATTTACATGGATGCTTCTGTTAAGAAAAAAATACCATAGGTACAAATTCAATTGCTGGTTGATTCCAAAAATATATCATGGAAAAAACATTCTCTTCCATAAAATTTTCAGGCTGCAAAACTGCATTGCTAATCTTCTCTTTGTAACTCATGACACATGAACAACCTACCAACAACGGTTCTTCTCCTCCTAGATTGTAACCCATGTGTTTATCCTCCAGATGTGTTCCCTTTCATATTATTGACCCTTTATATGACCATCATGTTATCCCTTCTCCTAACACAAAAGTTGCACTACCGCATCTGGAGGATCCTAACATAAAACATCATGACACTAACAACCAAATTTAGTATCCTCATACTATTAATTGCCAATTTTGTTTGATTTACGAAAAAAAATCCTCATAGACATAGCACTCTTGAAACAACATAGAAGTTTTTTAATCATATTCAAGTTATTACAATTTATCTGATTTAGCTATTACAATGTTCCGCAGCAACGCAGCGGGGTATCATCAGTTTATATAAACACCCTTCCCCTTCCCACTATCTGCCAGGTACGACCGCACGAGCATACCAACGACTAGCACCGCTTCCTCTTCCTCCTTGTTGCATCTCGCCCAGTGCCTATTAGGAATACTTTGCCATATATGTACAGATTGTATTGTATTGTTTCTTTCCTTGTATTCTCCTCTAATTGAGGATCCTGTACATGTGCTTCCTATATTAATACATGGCCACCCCTCCCATTGGGTGTGTGGTGTTCTCCCCATTCCATTCTATATGGTATCAGATTCCAAGTTTTCTTCTCCTCTTCCGCTGCTCCAGCGCTGCTTCCTCTCTGGTCGCTGTGTCCACCGAGCGTCGCCGCCTCCCTGGCTGCCACGCCCTTCTTCCCTCACCATGTCCACTTCCTCAGCTACTTCCGCTGCCACCGACTCCGCTACGGTGTCGTCTTCCACCTCTACCGTCGCCCCGGTTTTCGTCAACCCGTATGCGACCATCACCGTCAAGTCCCATGTTCCAATCTCCCTCGAGCTTCGTAACCCCAACTACAACAAGTGGAAGGCCTTCTTCCGCTCGATGTGTGGGAAATTCGGTCTCCTCGATCTTCTTGACGCTGCTCCTCTCACCAACCCCGACGCCACCTGGGAACAGGCCGATTGCTACCTCCGCAACTGGCTCTTCGGCTCCGTTGCCGACGACGTCCTCGACCTCGCCATGGAGCCTGATCAATCGGCCCGGGACTTGTGGATCGCCATCGACAACCTCTTTCAAGCCAACAAGGAGCCTCGCACGATCTATCTGCATCACGAGTTCCACTCCATGACCCAAGGCGATCTCTCCGTCGCCGACTATTGTCAGCGCATGAAGACGGCGGCTGATGCCCTCCGCGACGTTAGCCACCCCGTCACCGAGTCCCAGCTCGTCCTCAACCTCCTCCGCGGCGTCAACTCGCGCTTCACCAGCACGGCCGACAACATCGCGAGCGCCCCTGTCTTGTCGTCCTTCGCCTCTGCGAGGAACACGCTGGTTCTCAAGGAGCTTCGCAACGCCAACTCGGTACAAGTCCAGTCCGAGACTGCCCTCGTCGCAGCCAACAGCGCCCACTCCAACTGCACCGGGGGCACTTGCCACTCCTCTGGCAGCGGTGGGCAGCAGCAGAACCGCGCCGGCGGCGGCAACGGCGGCAAGAACAAGGGCAAGAACGGCGGCCGCAACAACAACCGCAACTCCGGCGGCAACGGCGGCGGTGGATTCGGCGGCCGCCCTGGTGGATAGAACAACGGCAGCAACAGCTTCGGCACCAGCACTTTCTCCGTCCCTGCTCCACGCCAAGCTGTACCATGGGTGTTCTTGCCCTAGGCAGGACAGCAGCAACCCTGGCGTTCTCCCAGCGCCGGGATACTTGGGCCGTATCCTCAGGCTCACACTGCCTTCGCCGGGCCATACTCCTCGCCACCGCCTGCAGGGTCTGTCCAGCTGGCTTGGGACCAAGCCGGCCTTGTCGCCGCTCTCAATGGAATGACGCTTCACAACCCCAACTCATGGGTTCTCAACACGGGTGCCACTTCGCACATGTCCTCCACCGACGGTATACTCGTTACTCGCCTCCCCAACTCACAAACTTATATTACCGTTGGTAATGGTCACTCCATTCCGGTTGTTTGCCGTGGCACTTCCTTTCTCCCTATTGGCACCACTAGATTCGACCTTCGTCATGTTCTTGTTGCTCCCTCTTTGGTTCGCAATTTACTCTCTATTCGCCAATTTACCCGTGACAATAAATGTTCCATTGAGTTTGATGAGTTTGGTTTTTCTATTAAGGACCCTCAGACCCGACGCGTGATTCTTCGTTGCAATAGCCATGGCGAGCTCTACACCCTCCCGGCCGCTGCACCTTCCATCGCCGCCCACTGCAACCTTGCCACCTCCTCCACATTATGGCATCGCCGCCTCGGTCATCCGGGTCCAACCGCCGTCACCACTCTCCAACATTTATCTGCCATACCTCGCTCCAAGACAAATAATTCCCTTTGCCATGCTTGTCAGTTAGGGAAACACACTCGTCTTCCTTTTAATAAGTCCACCTCCAGTACCTCTTCTCCTTTTGAACTTGTGCACTGTGATGTATGGACTTCTCCTGTTATGAGCATTTCGGGCTTCAAATTTTATTTAGTGCTGGTTGATGATTTTACTCATTTTTGCTGGACGTTTCCTCTTTGCCAGAAATCCGATGTTCATCGCCATATTGTTGAGTTCGTTGAGTATGCCCACACATAGTTCGGCCACCGCCTCAAGTGTCTCCAAGCCGACAACGGTACCGAGTTTGTTAATCACAACACCACCTCCTTTCTCGCTGGTAGAGGTTCCCTGTTACAGCTCTCCTGTCCATATACTTCCCCGCAGAACGGCAAGGCCGAACGCATGATTCGCACCCTCAACAACTCCGTCCGTACCCTCCTCCTACAAGCCTCCATGCCACCCTCCTATTGGGCCGAAGGTCTAGCCACCGCCACATACCTCCTGAACCGTCGACCCTCGTCCTCGGTAAACAACTCAATCCCATTCCAGCTTCTTCATCGCAAGATTCCCGATTATTCCATGTTACGAGTGTTTGGGTGTTTATGCTATCCCATATTCACATGCTAATATGGGAGCCAGGAACAAATAATGGGGTTCATATAATTCATTCACACACAGAATTCCTGGTGCAAATAAAATAACTTTCAATGTCCCCATTGACACTAGAACTCCAAAGAAGATGACTAGGTAG